ATCAATCCGGTGGTATCGACTGTAATCGTGCCCTGTATAGTAGCAAGATACTGTCGAACACTATGGATGAAATGACTGGGAACATATGGAAGTGCAATCGAGGGACTTTCAAGGACTGGTTGGGAGATGCCTCCTTGCCGTACACTTGGTTGATTTGCCTCAGTACACCAGTCACTACTTCCGCGTCGACGTGAGACACCTTGATATCATCCACATGCCACAGGATCGTGCATTGCTTGCCGTTGACGGTCTTATTCATTACACACCAGTCATATGGGTTTATGGCAAAGCCCCACCTGGTGAGATCGGTGCTCAGTTTGATCCAAAACAACAATGCAGCATTCAATGTCCCATATATTGCTTTCAGGCACTTAACGTATAGATATTTCTTTCCCCGCCGGTCCACCATTACATGCTTCCTGTAATGATCTGGGTCAACCTCCATCAGCAAGTCCAGCATGACTCCCTCCAATCGGAGGTGGGTTTCTCCACTCTTATCGGCCGTCTGTAAGAATGCTCCGGGGATATCAGCAGTGGCAACATCACGTTGCTCGTATGCGTCTATCATACATGAGAGAAACAGCGCCTGTACTGACACTGTAGGCGATGTTGTGTCATCCTTAGACATCCAATTCCGCTGCTTCCTCCCGTCAGCACAGCCCCTGCCTTTAATCTTCCCGCAGCGCTTTTCCTTCAAGAACATGAGATATGCCAGGGCCTTTGCTCTCTGTTCTGGTGTAAGATCCCGTGCCGACACGGGGCTTACAACCTCCCTATCATGTAGTTGCTGCAATTCAGTTCTCACCGCCTCAACGCCCCTGCTTCCAAATATCTTCAGCCCTTGCTTCATTCCGTATTGCGTTAGTATCATGGCGTTGACCTGTGTGTCCCATGCGAGGTTGTCACGATTAAACTCCAGTACGGCATGTAGTACCAGAGCGTACTGTTTCACCGCTCCTGTGCTGTTCCCTTCGATGGCGTTAACGCTATTCAAGTACCCCACAGTCTTCAGGTGGCTATAATCACGTGGGCGCCGTTCTCTTAGTCCAGTTCGTCGCGTTATTACAACGCCTTCGTCAGAGCTCTCGCTGTCGTCATCCACGATACTCTCCTGGCTCGCCTGTTCTGTTTCACTTTCCTGCACATCGTCCACGTGCTCGTTATCTTCCACCACAGCACCATCTCTGCTGGTAGACGTGGTACTTGCATCCTCTTCTTCCGTCTTGAAACCTATTAGGTTATCCTCTTCTTCATCATCGTCGCTGGTTTCAGACTCATAGTCGGAGTCTGAATCCTCGTCATCCGGATGATCTTCACCAACTGTTGGTTGGCCAGTCTCCTGCTCGGTAGCTACCGCTTCACCGTCTACGATGAGTGTACCAGTTCTATCCCGAAACTCAATCCCCTCGGGATGGTTGCGAGCTAGTTGATCAACACGGTCGATTACCTCCGCAGGCATTGGTAGGACTGTATACCGATTCCTATTGATAGCTCTGCCTGATCGCAAGCTATAGAACCAGTGTCCTCCTTGGGCATTCCCAGTGGGTCGCAGAGCGAGTGCTCCAATGGTGCGAGGATTCCCAGTTAGATTCGTTGTTTCTTCATGTGTTTGCACATACTCTCCGAACCGAAGCTTCATATGCTTCATGTAATCTATGTTGAGTCCGGTGATGATAGTCCGTGGACTCATCGTAGCAGACACTCCTGTAGGCTTCGGTACGCTGTTCCACCAGAACACTTGGCTAGCCACCAGTTCTACGGTCATACGCCCGGGGAGTCGTTTATAAGGGAGTGTACATTGTACTCCTCTAACTCGCTCCTTTATTGTCCGGATATATCGTTCGATCTCCGGGACATGCTCATCTTGCGACACGAAGTTCGGAGTGATCCCCAAGCCCTGTATTTGATTGCTGATTGGTTCAAACTGTATGTCCATGCTAATGGTATTTATGGTGAACCCCCGCTTCGCATACACTCGCTTGATATCCCGTATACACTCCTGTAGTGTTGATGCTTTTGCATTCAGTATCATGGCAACTGTGCCAAACTGTATATGTCTCGAGATCGTTATAAAGAAGCGGATCTTGTTTACATACATAACATCAGCACTCAGCTCTACTTGTGCATATTTTGTAGCGATTCCTGGAGGGATGGGGGCTATCTCCACCCGTACATGTTTCTCCGGTCGCCTGACAGTCTTCCCTTTTAGCCCAACTAGGCTCGGACCGAATATACTGTCGGCGATCCGCACATCGTCTCTTGTTACTGGACAATTTGGAATACTGTTGGAATCGATAAGGCGGAGGACCTCCTTGGTCGGTATATTGAGTATATCCTGCATCTTCCGGGCTTTCTCAGCCCTCCGTTGATCAAGTGCGGAGTAGGTCCCTTTATTCAACTCCACCGTTTCAACGGTGGAATTAACGAACAGTGTTGAGTCCTTCTCTAGAACTGTATAATACAGCCCCTTCGGCGACTGTGTAAACTGTCGATAGCTTGTTCCTGTTAGGTCGTACATCCTGAACGTGTTGTCAAGGGCACTGTCGAATGTTATACGATGTGTTTTCATCACCCTAGATACTGACAGAATGTTGGCTATTCCTTGTTCATGGTACCATACTGTTCCCACTCCTGGGAGTTCCCCAATCATCCTGGTTGCTACCACTCCAGCATTACAGTATATGTGCATTGTGTTTGGAGCCTCGCGAATGTTGGTCAGCAGGGCCGGGTTACACACTACGTTCACGGTGGACTGATTGTCAAGCAGCAGCCAGTTTCTGTTGACCTTTCCTTTAGTCTGGCTAAGTATATGGTCATAATTCACGTTGTTCTTAGCCTGTTGCAATATGTTGCGGTGCTCCCCAAGAGTAGGCACTGTAATTCCTCTTGTACAGAACGTTAACTCGTATGATGGTTCCTCGCTGTAGTCCACTGGATCACCAAAAGTGATGTGTGCCGTTCCCGTCTCTGCTATTGGCTGAGGCGGCTCTGTTGACGTTCCGGGCTCCTCGTCCTTGTTACTATTGGATGCTGGTTGGTCTTGTTGTCCTTGCGATTGATAAGCCCGTACATCGGCTGGTTTGCATACATTATCATATGAGAAGTGTCCCATCTTGCCGCATCGATAGCATCTTACACTAGATCGATCGTTGCGGCCGCGTTGCTGTTGTCCGCCAGCATGTTGTGCAAACATTACACCGTCGTTTCCGGATCGGCGGAATGCTCCCCTGCTGTTCTCCTGCCGATAGTTGACTAGCAAGTTCTGTGCATCGGCGAGGGTCTCAGGGTAGTTATTATGTTTCATTAGGAAGTCGTTCTCTAGTTTCTGTTTCAAACCCCCATAGCGGCTCTGGTTGGCGTTCTCAATATACAGCGTTGCTTGTACCAACTCTGTTGCCTTCTTCATTGCGGATTTGGCTTCCTCCGGATCTTCCAGGCGTGTTGTGTCGCCCTCATAGTGTTTGTCAACGATATATTGGTATATTCCATCAACGTACATCTGTCCTCCGCAGGCTGTTGCAGCAGTCGTGAGGTTTTCGAACTGTTCAAGCCATTCAATCTCCGTCATTAGGTCCCCTTGTGTGGTTTTATACATCTTGGCGATTGCTCTGATAGCCGCAAGCGGTTGGAACTGTTGTGCTTCGTAACTGTAGCATATTTTCTTAATGATGTTCAGTAATGCTATTGCATCCGAATCATCTTCAGCCTGTTGAAATCCCTGATCGGCACTGATCTTTTGCAACATTGCATCAGTGCATTGGCCATGGATCGTACTGTACATCTTTTTCATGTCATCGTCGTATTTCAGGAGCTTGATGGTATGCCTCTTTGCAAGCTCTTTGGTAACAGTGAGTTCAATTTCATCCATTGCCTTGATCTCATCTTTTGTCATGTTAGCGGTGGGATTGTTTGCTTCGATTATATCTCGCACGCTCGCTACATCATCTATTGCTCTTCGGACCTCAGCCCCGTATGTTCTGCCAGCATATACCACCAGCTCTTTCTTAGTCTTGGTGTATTTTGCCGCTTGTGTAGTCCCAATATCGAAAATGTGACCTGTTAGTTGGTCGCATCTGCCTTTGAAAGAGGCTTGGTGAGTTGCGGTTTTCTGTACTCCCCTGTTTCCTCTCCTCTTTCCTCCACGCGGTCTATACCCACTCTTCCATGGGGACGCGTTGGTCTTCACTTGCTCTCCTGGTGTCGATGTTGAACTGACACTGGTCTGTTGTTTGTTTTCCACCATCGCAATGGTGTGTTCTTACTGTGATTCTTTATAGTTTTATGCTGAATCTACGTACTGGACGATAAGTCCAAGTCCGAGAAGTTTTAAAGTAATTCCACTACTGTTAACTGAATAAAACTATAAAGAATGAGAATCTGTCACATACACACTGACATCACTAAAACATAAATCTGGTCATTCTCATTCATCACAATATGTCATGATCGCCCATTCCATCAAGGTCTCGACATTTGGTATTCTCTTCCTATTTAATCATAATTTCTCGGTCACCACGTCATTTATATTGCCCAGTCATTTAGGGTCGCCGGTTCGCCAATATCCGTTGGCTCGTAGATCCGGGTTCCAACAGTTTTTACTAAAGAAAAACATTTCAAATCTATCATTATTGTGTTCCTCGACCAYAGCTCCAGATTCGACTTCGGAACCTACATTGCTGGAACACGAATATTCTGACAACTGAAAACACGAATACGAACAAGGAGACGAACGTGAACAATGAGATGAACATAAACAAGGAGATGAACATGAAGATGATGAACATGAACGGGGATGGAATTACAGATGTGAATTTGAACATGAACAGGAACACAAATAAGAACACGAACAGGAACATGAACACGGATGCGAATATGGATATCAACACGAATGCGAACGCGAACGCGAACGCGAACACGAACACGAACACGAACACGAACACGAACACGAACACGAACACGAACACGAACACACAATTGCAAACGAACCCAAATACCAACAAGAAGGCAAAAAATACAGATACTGGTGGAAACAAAAAGAGAATGAACAATTCTTGTAGTCATTCTAATGTGATCAACGATAACTGCATCGATCCGTTTTCCGATATCATGTCAACACACGACGTTACCAACCCAAACACGTGGACAAATTTTATCGACGAAGATGCGGAAAACGACCTTAATRTTCCCGATATTCCCTCTTCCAAGTCCGGCAACGGTGTGACCCAGAACCAAACCCAGCAACAAACACAGGCGAACGAAAACTTTATCGACACTGAGATCGTTGAGCGGGCATGGGCCCGCGAATTGTATGAGATGAACTCGGACATTCGGGAGGCTGTCAACTACGAACTGCACGGTGTCAAATCCCGTGCGGCACCGGAGGGCCCAGCGGCGCTCTCCGAAGCCCTCGTACTCCTGCAGCACGAGATCGACACCGCCATCCCTCCGCTCCACAAGCAGGCGCACTTGCATGCCGTCCTGCGGCTCAAATCAAACTACATCCAGACACCGGAATTCCGGTTGCGTTTTTTGCGGGCCGAGCGTTTTGATATCCGGAAGGCCGCTCTGCGATATTGCAGGGGGCTTGACTACCTATACGAGTGTTTCGGGGAACAAGCCCTTCTTCGGCAGCTGTACMTTTCGGACTTGTCAAAGGACGAGGAACGCTTTCTGAAAAAGGGGCTCAAACAGGTCCTTCCGACCCGCGATCGATTCGGCCGCCGGATAATGGCCCATTTCGGGTCGTACAGCACCGAATACACCTTTGAAACCCGCGCCAAGGTCGTGRYCTACCTCTGCTTTGGGGTCCTGGCAGAAGATGTCACCACGCAACGGAACGGGGTCGTCAGCCTGGGATTTTTCTCGTACGACAACAACGATCTGCTCTTCGTCGAGCGGGAGAGCTTTCTGAGGTTTTTCGATGCGGTTCCCCTTCGGTGGTCAGGTTTTCACTTGTGCATTCCCAACAATCCCGCGTACAGCATTATGAAGGCCTTGCTCTTAACGGTGATTCCAAAAGAAATGAGGCGGATCACGAGGATTCACAGCGGTACGTAGTCTTACATATCATAGGAATTTCAGTACGATAGCGAGGCATGAATCAAATATGTCTTTCTACCAAAATACCGGAAATCGAACCCAGCATATCGAAATGGAACAGGACAGAGACCGATTCATTCGGTCCAGTTTGCCCACTTTCTTCTCGGACCATGCCAATCACTGTTTCGGTTTGTGTTCACCAAACAACAGCGGCGCAAAGCAATACGCGAATGCAGCTAACTTCTTCCATTCTTTCCTTTTGTAAATGTTTTGTCTTTCTCGTTTCCATTTCCGTACATGTTTAACGGGCATTTCGTCTGAAATACCTTCGTCAATCTTGTCTTTGGTTAAAAATAGGCACGAATCTCGAATGCGACTACAGCCTGCGGTGCTTTGGTGTGCCCACGGAAGACATTCCGAGAACCTGCACCGGTAAAGTCAAAACAAAGCACCTCGCGAAATGGATCAAGGTCCAAACATCGATAGACGACCACCGGAGGATGATGGCGCGGAACAATTACAATATGTATTACCTTACGCCGGCGACGGAACGAATTTTTCCGGGGATTGAATGCCCCGAGGTCAACTGCGTTTTGTTTCGATCGGGACGTCTGGCGTCGAGGCATCCCGGGAATGTTGAATTCAGCATATTTTTGCAGGAAAAGGAAGCCGAACGAGAACACATGAAGACATTGCAACAAACGGACGACTATTTGTACCGAATCATCCAACAGACGGTCAATCGAGGATTTCGTTTCCTGGCTTTTGACGAAACAAAATTTTGGTACAGGGAAATCAACAACTATGAGGTCCTGCGGAAGCACATATTTCAGGCGCAGCGCGATGTTCTCAAACGAACCAAAGCCCGTGAGGCTCTGCAGCTGAATAAAAGCAACACGACCGTCTTCGCCGGTCTCGATGGCCAAAATACTGCAAACAGATCGACGAAGAGAATAAAAGATAGGATTRTTGAGAACAAAGGAAGAGAGTGTTCTTTGTTCTGACCAGCCTTMAATAGCCAAATGTGGATATAGGCGCAGGGTTACTTGAAACAAAACTATGATTGATGAAGGAAAGATGTGATTTGTTCGACGTAATGAATTAATCTTCTACGATATATTTATGGTGGGCTACCACATCAACTATGAAAAATTCTCTTCAAGAATAGTTTTGGTTGTTGACAACTGGATTCAGTCTTAATATTCATACTACTATTTTGCACGTATTATGTATAATTGTTACTAGAGCATTATGAAGCACACCAACGCCAACACCAACACCAACATTGACAGCCTCTGCAACAACATTTAGCCACCAGCAAACGGGCCAACTACTACACCAATGAGAAGTCATTGTCATGATTGCTAATTCTAAAATCAAACTGGTTATTATTGCATGCTGATGAAAGAGAGTCCCATTCCCAAAACTTGATAAATTATGACCTGTTAAATTTCAAAGTCAACCAACAAAGAAGACACTGAAGTGYATGCTAGTGCAGGGAAACATATGTTAAAAAACTTCAACAAGAAGTTTACAACAGTGAGGAAGACAATGAGTGCAATGCTGCAATTTGCAAACAAGGAGTTCATGCTTTGATGGGAGCTGTCAATTTAAGCACAAAGTCACACATTGTTTCTGGTCCCATGGCAAGCTATCTCCTTCAAAATTATGGGTCTTGTTTCCAGCCACTTCTTTTCTCATGAATTTGAATTTCTTGTTGGTCTTGATTGTTTTGAGAGAGATACAATTGAGGAACTGGTTTCAGATCCCAATTCAGTTCAAAACAAACACATTCTATTTCTTAAATCTCACGTTGCAAATAATTTGTGCACGCCGGGCAAACCTGAAGATGTTTCTGTTTATGAATTTTTTCTCCGGCTTCACCAAAACAAAAGGAATCAAACCAAAGAAGAAGAAAAAACAATTGATTGGTTGTCAACTCCACACCCTGCAAAAAATCACTTGAAAATTCCCAAATGGTAACAGTGAAAGCTTGGAGGCATCCCCATTGATGGTAACATCAATCATCCAAAAGATACTGATCACAACTTGTTGGCAATAGAAAGATATGCTAAAACAGCAATGCAAAAAAAGAACTCCACACAGATTTGAAATATTTATCAAAATTCAGGGAAAATCTATAATGTGGGAAATTGAAACTGAATCATCAGAAACTGCTGAAAAATGCCCAAAATTGGTACAGCAGTTTTAATTCAGTGAGATCAAAAGATGCTCTAGAACAAGTTACACAAAATCCCTTAGTAAATGGAGGGAACTGTTGTCAAACTAATGAAGTTAGTGGCAATCTTTGTTTGTTAGATGAACTTCAGTCAAATTTTGTTGACAATATAGATATGTTATATGATCCAGGTCAGATTCAGTTCACAGACAGATTCACTTTGGTTGTCACTTATCAATGTTCCTACAATTTGATTAAGAGTGGAAGAACACTGCTGAAAACACCAAAAGTCCCACCAAACTCAGGTTCAGGTAACTTGTTTTTTTCTACAGAAAATGCACAAAATCTCAACCAAAATATATAACCTACTAATGAGCTTCAAAGAAGTGTTTTGTATCAAATTCTACACAAAACCTTTGATGTTGTCACCCATGAGACTGATCATGCAAAAGCTATGAAAAACTTCACATTTACTAGAGCCTTGGAAAATATCAGACACTAGTATGCAAAGTTGAATTTCTAAAATGGCAAAGACCAAGAAAATGCGTTCAGCTAGATGGTTGTTGCTGCTTTTGTTTCAAAACTTCATAAAACTTCATAAATCATCTCTACATTCACCTGAACAATGAAGAAAAAGATATTCCACAAGAAGATTAATTGGTAATTAATACAACAAATACATTCAAGATCTCAGGCAACAATGAGCAGACCAACAAAGAAAATTTCATCTGGTTTCTATCAGGGGATGGTGGTACTGGAAAATCAAAAGTAATTCATTAAGTTCAACATTATTGTAAGATGTTTTGCAAAGAATTGGGAGTGACCTTTTCCAACAGGACTCTGGCTATCACAGGCATGACTGGATCAGCAGCAGTTAATATCAATAGGGAAAGAACACATAGTAAAGCTTGCTACACTATCTTAATTGTGACAAATCCAATGTTACAGGTGAATGAGACTTGCCTACTCACTGTTGACAAGATATCATTTGCTAGCATCAAACAAATTGAAACATTGAATAAGTATCTGAACTGATTTTTGTGTGACAAGCCATCATATAATTTGTATGCTGGCAATCTACCAATTGTCTTTGYAGGTGACTTCAATCAACTCAAACCTGTGAGAGGAGACTCTCTATTGTCAAAAAAGGTTTCCATCTTAGGAGAAAAAAAACCAACACATTTCTTGAACTAAAAACAAACCACAGGAGGTTTAGATATGATCCAATCTGAGGAGAGCTTATTGATGATTTAAGAACAAATGGCTTAAATGAGGAACACATTCAAATCATGAATTCAAGAATTGTAAAACCTTGGGACAAACTCCCAGAAGTTATTGCTTATGCAACATACAGCATTCTTGCAGACAAATGTGCAATAAATAATGGCATATTTTCTGAGTTTCTCAAAACAACTCATTCAAAAAATATAAATGAGAGATTACTACTAACTCACACCATTGTAAGCAAGGCATCAAACCTGAAGCTGCAGATAGACAAAAAAAGAAAATACAGAGACATGCCAGAATTTCAGAAATACTGCTTRCTGACTGCCACATCAGATCCTGACATTGTTGCATGTMCAAWCAWATCTTCCAAAAGGATAGATCCAATGTTTAAATTGTATGTTGGTAGACCTCCTGTCATGATCAACAACAACATAGATGTTGAAAAGCCAAAAGCAAATGGAGCCATGTGTACATTCAAGTCAGTGAAACTGAAAAATGGGTACCAAGATTGTGAAATTATCAACATTGATGTATTTTATGTTCAATGTGTAGATGCTGAGAAAGTTGAATGGATGGAGGTGGTCTTTGAAGAAGGAGACTAAAAAAAAAGTGATCACTTTAACTCCTCAAAACACTGCAGCAACAGCAAAATTCAATGTGCACAATGTCCGCAAGAATATAAATCAAGAATTAGTATGAATCAAATTCAAACAAGTCACAAGGGAATTTGATTAACTTGATTTCCAATCAATATTGCTAATGCAAGAACTGTTCACAAATTAAAGGGAAGATCTTTGGAAAATGTGTTGGTTTCAACTTCTTGGTCTTACACAAGCAATTGGATTTATGTGGTGCTTTCAAGAGTTAGAACTTCCAATGGTCTCTTTGTAAGAATACCTCTTCTACTACTTCTTAGTACAAAAAGCAACAACAACAAAAACAATACCCAGCATACACAACAAATCAATGATTTCCATTTCTATTTCAAAAACAGCAAAGAGCAACAGTACTTTTGTTGAAAACCTCCTTCTACTACTTCATTCTTTTCAGAACATAACTTCAACCTTAGTACTAGCAATAACTTAGTTTTTGCACTGTAGAAACTATTGCGTTAGCAAGCCAATTTGTTCTTGAAGCAACCTCCTTTGTTCTTTACTAAGCCAACTACAGATGTAGTAAATTATTTTTTACTAGTAACATTCAATTCTCATTAAGCATTTTTCAAGTGGACCACAATATACTCATACTACTAGCCGTGCCACCTCCTGCTGTCTGTAGGATATCAGACTGTGAGTATGACTCATATCTCCGACACATACATATGATACGTATCTATGATTCATACCCACCATACATATATGATTCACTTGATCCCATTGGATTCATACGATCGACATGACTCATTTCATTCACTTGCGTGAATGACTCGACTCATTCGATTCACACATCACTCGATCCTCACAGAGATCGATTCTAGATTTCATAGTTCGTTGATCCTYGATAAGAGCATCAACTCACTTTTCTTCTAGCACACACTTTACATCACTATTAGGACAGTCACTCCCACACCACCAGTACTATAAGCAGATCAATGTCTTCCAATGCCAATAATTTTTGGTAAATTTTGATGCAACACAAAATGCAAGAACAAGCCAAGTTCCTAAAATTATCTGCTGCTTGCAAAATACAGCAGCTCTAGGATGAGTAATTTATTTCAATGCCTTATAAATTCCCATATGTTCTGATGATATCAATGATCAGACATCACCAATGTCAATCATTTGGAAGCAGCAGCATCAAATCTCCTCAATGTTCTGGCTAAAATAGTATACCAAATCACTCACTATCATGATATTGTATGTGCAGAAAACACATTTTTTGTAGTCATAATGGTAACCAAAGTACTTAGGGCTAGATTCATAGTACCTCATGGTAGTGGTAGTATGCACAACAGCTAGTTTACTAGTTTGGGTTGTCAATCAGCATGAACAGTTTTTGGAATAATGATTGAGTAGCTTTAGGCACCTGCATGTTTTTGAAATACTTCTCAAGCAGCAATAGGTGCTCACATTCATTTCTATTGGTATTGTATAGTGTTGGCTACGTTTTCCCGGCCAATTAATCATGTATTTTTTACTTCCGATATTCATACATGTATATTGATCAATACTTGTTCTCAGATCCCCTACTCCCCCACGGCATTAGAAAGCTCTTTTMATTCTCTTTTTTAACCACCATATGCTTCTTGTCTTCATGCATCTGTTGTGGAAAAAGTCATAGTGGTTAGTGTGAGTTGAACCTCTCTTAATGTTCTACATGTTTTTTGTACTGGTGTGCATGGATTTTGGGCTATCTTTTCACCGTGTAATGATTACTTTGACTAAGCAATTTGAATGTGTTTGAAGCCAAAATTGTCAGTTGAGCACGTGCACGCAAAACTATTTGGTCACACACACTTGTGGGGGGACTCAACAAAAATTCAGCATGTGCCTGGCTGTAAACTGCAGTTTTTAGTCAAAGTACTAGTAGTCATAACATGGAAAAATTAGGTCCCAAATTGTACAACAACTGTATCGTTGATTTTGTATCCAACTCAATAWCATAATGGTACTAGTAGTTTGTGTACTCCTCACCTACTAGTGAGGACCTACTAGTAAGAAGATCTAACTTACATTGCATTGAATCAATTGAGTGCAGACAATGTCCAGTTATTCCTACAATGGTGCGGTATTGTTGCTGGCTTTCATGGAATGAGCACCRCCAGCCAGAATAAATGCACATTATTTATGGTGGGATTTAAGAGAGCACAGGCAAACTGTGTAGCAGCACAGCAGAAAAATTACAACATCATACTAAGCAAAAGAGATTTTTTGTGCACAAACATAAAACTTCTTTGCTTTGTAAAAAAATCACTGTTCTGTACCAAACATGAATAGTACTGGTCACAACGCCAATGAAAATAATGTGAGAACCCCCCTAAAATGTGGGTACTAGGCCAGATTACAGCAGGAAACTTACCCTAAGAAGAAGCATCTCTTGCACGAGCCACCCCCCCCCAGCAATGTAGTAAGTACTACTACTACTAGTATTACTGCTGCTGCTGTCACTACTAATACTACTAGTACTAGGCCCTACTACTATTACTAGCGCAACTACCACCACCAGAGTAGTTTTACTACTACTATGTACTAGGGGGAGCTACTACTACTAGTAGTAATACTACTAGTTCTGGTGGTGGTGGCACTATTTTTTGGGCTTGAAAACTCCAACAATAGAAATAGAACTAGTACAAGTACTAGGCTACTAGTACTAGTTCATATTCTTGTTTTTCTTGTTCTTGTTCACTGCCACCACCATGGCAAGAAGGAGTACTACTACTACTACTATTACTACAACTACTACTGCTACTATCATCATCATGCTGATGGTGGTGTGCTGGATCATGCTGGTGGGGTGAGGAGGAGGACAATGAGTATGTGGTGCTGCAGATGCTGGTGCTGGCTGGTGCTGGTGCTGGTGCTGGTGCTGGTGGCAACAACAAATCTAGTAGTAGTAAACACCAGTTCTTCACCACCACCAGCAAGAAGAAGAGGAGGAGGGAGACCCAAATATTATGGCAGTGTGTCCTGGTGCCACCCTCGTACTTTTGGCATAAAGCACCACTATGAAAAGGTCAGTGCTGTTATTTTTCTAGTATGTTCAAGAAGTGCATTTGGCCTCTTGTTGAAGAAGCAGTAAGTATTTGGATTGCTTCCCTCCTGGAGTACTAGTAATTCGTAAAGTWCATTTTTAGGCTCAAGTACGATTCCCCATGTTACTGCGCCTCGCGCCTGACCATTCCTTTCGTACCGGTAGGGATTGGCAACCATTTAATACTACAACCGAATTCAAACCTGCGCGCAGGACATGTCGTATGGGGAATTGCCTCATAAATGCAACCTGGCAACAAACGAATCATCAAAGTTCTAGAACCTTGATTCCTATTCAAAAATCGAACAAAACTTTGGACCAATAATGCAGGCCTTCAAGTTACAACCACACGAGTACAACAAAGATTGAGGTTCTGGCTCACTCACTGACTACTCGGGATTAAGCCTCACACCCAATTCAGAAAATGTGAATAGGCGACGACTAGATGACGCATGGCGAAAGTGCTGGAATTTCGTAATTTCCGACACCAGGACCACAGAGACAGCCGCTACGTACAATTTGTACGAGTATGCGCCAACCTCCGGAAGGTATGAAGTGAGCGCTTCACGTTTCACATCGTTGTGTGTCTAACAGCGAAGAATGAGAACATGAGCAAACCTCCAGAACACACGTCATCTTGATTTGAGTTTCAAGTGTCGTTTAATTGGCACTAAAGTAAGGGCTTGAAAATTTGGATGTAACCAAACAATTCGAATGGCTACCGTAGGTCCCGGATACGATTCCAAATTGTTGCTTCAAACTTCCAAAGATCACATCAGAGCTTTTGATTTTTRATTTCTTCATGTTCTGCTCACGTCTTTTCCCTGCATATCTGTTGCGAATTACATCACGAAACTGCCTTAACGGATACAGAAGTTTTCGAATGGGAATTTTTCCTACTGATATTGTACAGAATTGATGCTAAGAAAACTTGTTTCCGAAAAAAAATAAGGAAGAGAGACAAGCAATCGCTTCACAATCCAAGTCCTCATTAGTCTCACAATTTATTTGCCGAGCAATCCAAAAAGCAAAAATCCAAAGCCTAAACACAACGATTATATCGTAATTTTTTCGACCAACCCAAACGAATTTTTGATACAACCATGTCCGAAGCTGAAGTTGACACCGGAGCTCCCGTAAGTACAAWAAATGTTCCAATACTGATTCACTGACACACTCTACATGGTTCAAGCTTATTCATTCCTCATCTCTCACCCATTATCGCAACAATTATTTACGTTCTTGCAGCAAGAGTGGAAGAAATACTCTGAGTACTTCGTCGAAGTCGATCCAGACCAAGACGACAAAGCCAAGGAAATCAAACTTTGTTCCATTGCTCGACCTCATATGAGAGCATTCCACTGCTCCTGGTGGGGATTTTTCATTGCCTTCTTCATCTGGTTCGCCATCGCCCCTCTTCTTTCGGAAATCAGAGACGACCTCGGATTGACGAAGCAAGAGATTTGGACTTCTTCGATTGTCGGTGTCGCTGGAACCATCTTCATGCGATTCATCCTTGGTCCTGCTTGTGATAAGTACGGTGCCCGCATCCCTATGGTTGCTGTATTGTGTTTCGCATCCATCCCTACTGCCCTCACCGGAACTGTCAAGACCGCGACTGGACTTGCCATTCTTCGTCTTTTCATCGGCTCTGCTGGAGGTACTTTCGTCATGTGCCAATACTGGTCTTCTCGTATGTTCTGCAAGGAAGTTGTCGGTACCGCCAACGCTCTCTGTGGAGGATGGGGTAACCTTGGAGGTGGTGTAACCCAACTCGTCATGGGATCGGCTCTTTTCCCTCTTTTCAAGTACTTCTTCGACGGAGATGCATCGAAGGCATGGAAGTGGGTCAGCATCGTTCCCGCCGTTGTTGCCTTCGGAACCGGTGTTATGATCTATTATGTTTCCGATGATGCCCCCAAGGGAAACTACAGCGAATTGAAGAAGCATGGACAAATGGCCGATGTTTCGGCTGCTGCTTCGTTCCGTCAAGGTGCAGTCAACTTCAACACTTGGATTCTTTTCATCCAATACGCATGCTGCTTCGGCGTTGAATTGACAATGAACAACGCTGCCGCTCTTTACTTCAAGGACAAGTTCGGGCTCTCYACTGAATCCGCCGCCGCCATTGCTTCTATCTTTGGATTCATGAACTTGTTTGCACGTGGACTCGGAGGATTCATGTCCGACAAGGGTAATCAGTACTTGGGAATGAGAGGACGTATTGCATCACAAACCATCTGTTTGATCATCGAGGGAGTTCTTGTTTTGGTCTTTGCCCAAACCAACTCTCTTGGAGCCGCTATTGCTGTTATGGTATTCTTCTCTCTCTTTGTCCAAGCCGCCGAAGGTACTTCGTACGGTATTGTCCCTTATGTCGACCCACCTTCTACCGGAGCCATTTCTGGTATTGTTGGAGCTGGAGGAAACACGGGAGCCGTCTGCTTCGGACTTGGCTTCCGCAACTTGGCATACAAGAAAGCCTTCATGATYATGGGATTCACCATCTTGGGATCMWCTRTCTTGTCTCTTGGCATCATTATCAAGGGACACTCTGGACTTGTGTGCGGAAAGGATGCACCCAAGGAAGAAGCCCCAACCGAAACTCTTGCCGTCCCCGTCAAGGAGAACGAGGCAACCGACGATGTCAACGCYGAAGAGTAAACAAATGGAAACGAGCCGCCGAGCCTGTTCAATTTTGTGCTAATSTATATACAGCCAYCGTTCGTTATCACAAWCCAATTTCAGTACGGTGCAWGATTGTTTCTCCAACGCCCGCCCGCACCCAAATTTTGCTGAGCTAGTACTTCTACTCATTTTACATTTATGTCAATTTTATCAATCAATAGTGAAACCTTTATTTACCAATAAAATCTGCCATATCTTCTCTTGTCTCTATTCATATCTTTCGTGCTGGTATAGATTGTGCRATGCAATGCTCAGTGTGCTAAYACATGAAAGTGGGGGATGTCGCAGCGCAACTCGTATAACCACACTGTATCCATGACTCTTTTTCAGTGCTCGGTCCAGTAGTTTCGAAGGTTACCCGTGCCGAAGAATAGTGGTCGAAAAAGACCTGCTACKACGACGAAGCGCAATCGCGACCCACTACAAGACAGGACGAAAAGCGTGTTCTCGGAACCAAAACTRTGCAACGAGGAGAGGGATAGAACCTGCGGAACGGAACGAAACAATCGAGTTGACAGCTTGTCGGTTTGGGTTCCATTGCAACCACTTCAATCTTCAAAATCCGAGTAATTATAGCGTGCCGTGTGATAGATTATTCGCAGTCAACACGACACAGTCTCAGTAASTGTATTAATGACCCGCCGGGACCACCKGCAGCAGTGTATACTGAGAGCACACGATGCAAAAAATTCGCACTATTAATTCTTAAGTAATCCCAAACACCGGATTCTTCTATAGGGTAGTGTAGCTTTGAGWCAGTGCTACTGTAGCTGGTGYATTCCATGGGTGCCGTAGATCGGGGAGTCCGTTGATTTTCGTATTGTCTCCCGCCATGCGATGTACCGTATGTCCGGTGGAGACAAACCAAGCCGTGGAGGGTTCCACACCAAAAAMGAATTGATGCGTGCTGTTTCTTTCGGCCGGTTTCGATGCCTGCTTGCTTTTCCTCTACGGAGCAACGGCAGCAGGGGCCGAAGCGGCCGCAGCCGCGGCAGCAACAGCGGGGGGAGCAACGGTGTCCTCCAGGTTGACGGCACACAGAGACGACTTGAATCGGCTCTTGTTCGAATCGTCGCTCTTGTCCAATCGGGTGTTGTAGGAAACGTACACGGCGGTTCTGCGAAGCGAAACGAATGGAAAAGTGAYAGCAAGAAAAAAGAAATCGGTGAGTCCGACAGAGGAACGGATTGGCTCGAGGATGATTCCATTCCATTCCATCCCATTCGTTTCGATGGTTGTGTTCACTCCGAGATACAACACACACGATACTGACGGGCTACAAAAGTCGAACAGCAGCGATTGTTTCTCGGAGCGACGGTCCTGATTTCACAAACAGACAAAACAGACGAACCAAACCCCAACGGCGCAACACGACTTGACTCACTTGGTTTCTTCGTCGTAAACCCGCTGCACCCTGAGGGTCTTGAAGAGAAGGGATCGGGACTCCTCAAAGACTTCTTCTCCCTGTGGCGTCTTGTTGATRTTGCTGGCAATGGCGACCTTCTGGCCGGTGCGGGCACACGCCACGCTGGCGTACGAGGGATCGTTGAAAAAGTTTCCCTTGCTCAGTTTTTCCGTCACGGGCCGATCGAAATTGGAAATGTATAGGACGACGCCCTTGACCTTGGGGTCCTCGAATCGCTCGATGGAMAGKGTGTCCTTGAAGACGAGGCCCGATCCCTTCAGCTGGCCGATCACCTTKGATTCCATGGCCGACGCGGCTTCGGGGGCGGTCGTCAGGGCCGAACCAAAGACCAGGGACGCCGAGAGCAGCGCGGTACCGAAGAGCCTGGCGGTTTGGCCGAGGGTCGTTGCGGGCGGACGCTGCTGCTGCTCTTGTTCTTGTTGCCCGTGCTGGTCCCGTTCCGCGTGGCCGCGAAGAGCCTGCAGGGCCTGCGGCGAGGTTTTCCCCGCGGGCRGGGCAATCCCCGTCGTCGTGAACGCCGACGACGGATGCGCGCAGAACATCAGCCAGAATGACGCAAGAAGAATTCCAGGGGCTAGTTTCATTGTTGCTGTTGTTGTCGGTGTTGCTGTTGCTGTTGCTGTTGCTGTTGCTGTTGCTGTTGATTGTGGACTTGTGCTGGTGCTTTCAATTTTCGCTGTAGGAAATCTTTGTGGAACAGATACGTACGAGTACTCGTAGTCCGATTTTCCTTGGGTGTGACTCCCAACATTTTAGTCATACGAGTACGTACTCTACTGTTCTCGTATACTCGTACTGGTACGAGTACTCATAGTAGAMCTCGTACTTGGCCATCGTCAGGTGACGAATCCAAAAAGATCGGTTTGTGAATTCGTKCCCACYTTTGTAATCGTCACGTGTAATGAATAATACGGTACAGTATCGTAATACTTCGTACTAATGAATTAACAACGAATCGAACGAGTCAATCTATCAATCAGTCGACAGATCCAAATTTCAAATTTTAAAAAATACGGCAGCAAGAAATTTCGCGAGTGATATGATCGTGAAAAAATGCGCGATCCCAATCGATGCCACGAGTAGTGGAAGAGTAGCACGCGACGCGAGGCGACGCGAAACTTTTGAGTGCTCTTCTTCCGTTGACTTTCGGGTTTTCTGTTGTATCCCGCCGATCCACCGCCAGAGAGTGGCGAACAAAACCTAGAAGCAAAGCGGTGCTTTGTATCGACAACGACAATCACCATCGCTGTTCTCTTCTTTTACGTTCATTGTTTGGTAAATGTTCATTGTTTTGTAAGTGTTCTTTGCACATATTCGATCGTGAACACTCGAGGAAGCAGCATCTACAATCGAAAGTCTCGGTTCTGGAACCGGCGCAAGAGCTTGGGCTACAAAGACAGGAAATTCATGCACACTAGCCCAAGTCGAAAGATCATTATCGAACGCATCTACGAAGACTAGTCGGGCGGGAAACAGAGAGGAAAGGAAAGGAAAGGAAAGCAAACCCAACCGTGGGGAAGAGCGAAAAGGCACGTTGGAAAGAGAGGCATTCCGAGCGACCCAAGCGATCGAGAATCCATCGGTTCGCTTCACGTCCACCATGCAACGAGACATAGATTGTTTCCCCACCCCTGCCAGCGGATCCAAGGTCGTCCACGGACCRCCAGGAGTGGTCCGCGGAGCCGTTGCGCCCGAAGATTCCGGGAGCAACACCCACCAARCGCGGGGCTCGTCGTGCTCTTGTGAATCTCGAACGAAAGGCAGGGGCCCTCGTTGCCGGCAAACAGCCCAGGCAGCCCATTGCTTCTCGGGRKTCTCGAKCCATAYCGTGGAGGCTTGTGTGGTTGTGTTCAACAAGCACGCGGTCGTTGGAAGTCTTTTGGGCGGTCTTGGTCTCCACGACAACTCTGGCGTGGTCAGAGCCATTTCCAATCTCTGGAGGAGTGAAAACCTCCGCYCGGTTTTTGCGATCCAAGAAAAGCTCGGGTTTGGTTTGACGACCGTGGCAGCCTGCGTGATCCGTGTTTCGAAGCGAGTTTTTCGTTTCGGATGCGATGCTTGCAGCCGTGTTTTCTGGCTCTCGGTCAGGGCGACAAAGGAAAGAGCGTTTTGGGACGCAATTGCATTCCTGTTTGCGGTGTGGCTTYGTCTATGGGTTCTTGATGGTTACATCATCAACAAGCAAGCTTGTGGGTGGGTCAGCGATGGATTTGCAGCGACAAGCGTCGCCTCCTACACTGCCGGCTTCAAGGCTTTCGAGCAAGATTCGAAAAACCCTTCGCCTTTTTGGTCATTAGCTGACCATTTCGTTGCTCCATCTTCATCTCCGGGCGGGTTTGCAAAATTTTTCAACCGGCRACGAGACGAAGAAACATGTATTTTCAACTCYCCTTTAACAACAAGCACAATTGAATGGATTCAATGCATCCAATCCTGGGCGTGGTGTWTGGGGTACATCTTTGGAGACGCCTTCAACTTCTTTGGATGGTACACAATATTGGACTTCATCACCATCGTGTTCGACCGGGAATCTCTGGCGTCGGTGACAAAATCGTTGCGACGAGACCAGGGATATCAGTTGCTGGTTGACGCATCACCAATTTGCCATGGAATTGGCATTGCCAAATCCAAAGCAGGAGTGTCGATTCAATTTTTAGTCCTGGGCGTAATCTGGATTGTAATCGCATCTGCATGGAACGGAACCCTATTATTGGAGGATCATCCTCGCCTGGAAACGAAATTGCTCATTCGGGCACAGATTGTAGCCCTGGTCAAAACAATCATCTCCGCGGGTGACCTTGATGTGTTTGGCGCACGAACTTCGCAAGTATCTATTGGCTCGATCTGCAGACGCTTGTTCTACTACTATTGTTTCCTTTGCAGGTGGTTACACGACCGTATATTGAAGAACGGAAAGAAGGCAAACACTACCGAGCCACCGTCAGATTTTCGAGGACTATTGCCGCCATCACCATCGAACAAAAACAGTGGGATCGACGCAAAGAAGGAATCATACTGGTCCAGCAACAGAAAGACTACGCTGAACAAGCCATACAAGACTAGAAGTTTATCTCCGCCAAGAATCATATGTGTGCCAACCACAGTTGATACCATCCATAGTACCCTTGGAGCCGGCAAGAATTCTGACAAAAGGGGAGATTACACAGAGAAAAAAGAGGAGACGAGTTTTTCCAGCGATATCCTGAAACCTAATGACTCGTCGGAAGAACTTGGAGCTGAAGACGCCAGCCAAGCCCAAGCTACTCGTAGGAGAAACCAGTCGACACTTGCTCTTTCCAAACATAACAAACTCACTACTCTAAAACTCCAGAAGCATTATTTTACAACAGCCAAAAAATTCAATCCATCGGAAGCACTGTTCACTGAGGGAAAATCCCTTGCTGATCCCTCCAGCGACTTTAGTGCAAATGTGACACAAGCTAAGAATCAAAGTGAAATCAAATTTAACGATATCCTTGTAGGAGGAGATGGCTTATACTTGTATCCTGAGGAAATCATGACCGAACATTCTACGGCGGCTCGAGCCTTGGACAATCTAATCATGCGAAAGGGAAGCGATATGGAAAGGAACCGGTTATGTAGATCGGACCCATCCTGGTCGTCTGACATGCCGGATCGTCCTCTCGAGCAAATTCCGAAACAAGTGTCCAATCAAATTCTTTCGCAATGGAGGGCCACCGATCAATCCCATCCTGCTTCATGCAAAGATTCCACTGTCTCATCCGAAGTAGTCCAAGATGAGCAGTCGAGTCTTTCCGAAGCATCTCGTCATGAAGCCAGATGCAACAATGCCTTGTCTCTGAAACGAAACGCCGCCGCCAAGAATGTAAAACTTAATGTGCCTATTCCGATCGATGAGAAATCAAAACGATTCGTGAAGGAGTCTTCTCCAAAGCAGAAAATTTCCGACCTTGATTCACTGATTCCGAATGAAGTTGTCACAGAACTCGAAAKTGAGTCACTGGAAGATACCGTTGGTACCGAGCCAGATACCTCCTTGCTCCTGGGGATGATGTATCTCAAGAAAAAGAAGGCAAGGCAACTACGAACGCGAAAATTTCTGAAACCTCCACCTAACTTCCACCGAATGAAAAAGTTGAAGCAGCAAAAGGAATCAGTTGCACAACGAAAAGAAGAGAGTCGAGAGGAAGTAGAACAGAAACAAGACGAGGAACAAGACCAGCACCAACGAACCGCCAATCCGCCGTCAGGATTCGGTCAGGTCGGTAAGGTTTACACCCCCCCTAAGAAATCCCATCGACTTCAAAGGCTCGGAATTATCATTAATGGAAAGATAACCGAGACGATTCCCGAGGAGGTTGAAATATGTCTGGGATCCCCATCCTGTAAGCCTGTAAGGAAAGAGTATTGGAGTTTCAACAACTGTACCGGGAAGGGCGACCGGATGGGGATGATGAATGATCTCATGCTACGGAGCAGCATTCCACAGTGCAGTAGTAAGCTAGCTGCTACCTGTACAAATAGCATGAAAGGAAGCGATGCATGTATTTTGCAACTTTCAAATTCATGATACACACGAAGGTAAGAAAATAACCAAATTCAAATTAATTGCCTGCATGACTATACCCACCGAGAACATAGCACTGATACAATTATTTCTTCCGTCTGATTTTCTTCTTTCGTTTTGATTTATGGCTAGTCGCCGGCTTCGACTTTTCGTCGGCTGTGCCTTCCTTTGTTGTTGACGACAACCCGAGAGATGCTAGTAAATTTAATTGGGCCTTCCCTTCATCCTGTTGATTCCATTTCCTCTTCTTTTCTTTAGTAGAAGCTTTCTTTTGTTTTCTCGTCGAAGACGACAACTCGGTTTGAGAGGTAGAGATGCTTTCCTTTCTATCTTCTGTAGATAATGGTGGATTGYCAACATTGGATTCAATGACAGGTAGTACAGCGGGAGTGCTCGGACCAGCGCCCGTCGCTGGTTTCGTCCTTCGACCCTGCGGTAGTATTGTTTGGTTCTCTTTCTGCATATTCCCCGGATCCTGACCGAAGGCTTTCGCCAGTTCGTCCAAGACGACGGCATCCTTACCCTTCACGTTCCACAGCCGCTTGGCGGCCACGTTCTGGTAAAACAGGACGCTCGTGTCGAAAGAGGCCACCCGAAAAGAATCTCTCCGCCGGTGCTGCGTGCCCTCCGCGTACCAGTGGTCTCCCTGCTCCAGGAGGAGATGCCCCTCCAGGCGCTCGTTGGCGAGAAGGGCCTGGTAGCAACCGGACTCGCGCCAAGCGGGAACAAAGACCACGAACATGATCGGTCGCCGATGGTTCCGCGCTCGTTGCGGAGAAAGGACGTCATCGATCGTTTCACTGAGCTTTTGTATAAGGCCCTCGCAAAACGGTGGGTTGGCTTCGTAGCAAATGCCACCATCTCGAGAAGAGAGAGAATCGTCGTCTTCGGTGTCGTTGCCGTCMCCATCGTCGTTGTCCGACAAAAGCGGGAGTTCAAAAAACGATCCCTTGCTGCCAAAGGCCGCGTCGACGTCGACAAAGGCCGATGCAAAGCAATCGTACCGGCAATTCAGGGGCGACGCGAAGCACTCCATCCGGCAATCGAATCGCTCTAACAAGACGTCCATGATTGAACCAGGGACCCCCGCCTGGAGGCCGGCGCCCTGAATCATGTCATACCGGCACAGGAGACAAAACAGGGCCTCCTCGAAGGAAAGGTTGTGATGCATAGCGTCGGCTGCGCAGAAATTATCCGGAGAATGCTCCAGTTTGAGGCGGCGCTCTTTCGTCCGATCGTAGAGCCGCTGTAATTTTTCGAGGTATGCGGGATGAAGTTTCAGGGTGACACCCGAGAAGGCAACGCGCACAAGCGATGGAGAGGAAGAGTCGCCATCGGTGGTTGGTGACCTCGATAGTTTTGGTATCCTGTTGTTGTTGCTTCCCCTGCGACTTTTCTTTGCGGTTGTCGACCGGATGGATTCTTGCCGAACATCCTGGAGCAGCTGCGTTTCGAAGGATTCCCTTGCTTGGCAGACCAGTCGGAACAATGCCTTTTGCACCTGCTGTGCTTTTTTGCAAAACTTTGGTGGGAATTCCGAGTTGTTGTTGGATTCTACTCGCTCGTTGCTCTGCTGCCACATTTTCCGAACCTGCGGTTTCAGAATTGTCTCTATGAAAATGGATGGAGAGTGCTGGTTCAGCAAGATTGGATCGTAAACATGTATGCCGTGCTTTTTTCGGGTGGCGATTTCTCGAAGAATTTCGGTGGTGGACGCAGCAGATGGAAGGCTGGTGTTCGATGGTTTCGAGGACGAGGACGACGACAAGGACGACGATGCTGCCATATTTTGAAAAAGAATATTGCGTTCCTCGAGTTTCGCATCCATGTGCCACTTGTCGATCATGGAGGGAATGGGTAGCTTGCTCTTGTTCTTGCTGAAACTTCCGCCCGAAGCGGACGAGCGCGATGAAAAGGATAGGTTCTTGGTCTGAAACTCCTGCAGTAGCGTATGGGTTTCCTGTCGAAACTTTTCGAAGACCCTCCTCCGTATCACCTCAATTCGTGGATTCGTCGGAACCATTRGTGGGACAATCGATATCTGCGCTCGATCACTGGCGTTTCTGCCAGGAGATCCACACTTTCCTTCGGCCATTGGGTTCCAAATCGATTGGCTTCCGGCCTGGAATGCATTGTCCGGGTATTCCGGCAGCTCGGGCAACAGCCGCCGCCGAGGAGTTGGGGTTTGGAATTTGGAATTATTCTGCTGCCCGGTTTCCTTTCCATCGTGTGCAKTGACATCCTCGTCTCGCGTGAGCGTTTGTTCACTGTGGTACCCCTGGTTCTGCCCCATTTCTTTCATCAGGGAGGCAATCATATCGTCGGCATCGCGACCTCTCACTGCCATGTTGGAATAGTGTTATGTCAACCGCATGTGAATTCTAATATGGTGCGTTGAGTTTCAGAAAGGGTACGAATCGATCAAGCCAGGCGCGGTGGGGGAAATCGTTTCGACCGTTAGCGGGAATGATGACGGAGCTTCGTACAACACAACCTCTGATATTGTTGCGTTCTTAGATTCTTAGATCTCTTCTCGCGCTTTTTCCAAAAACACCAGTCGAGTCGTAAAAATCTGGTTTCGATCGATGGTTGTCAACAAGAAAACGCGAACGTTTTGCTTGGCTGCTGAAAAGCTTTCTGAGCGGAAGACGGAAAGACACGAGATCAAATCTGCCGTGGCTACTCGTACTTCTGACTGCAAGAAACAGCCTCCTCAACGAGTTCCCCCCACTAGATTCCTGTATCCCCTAGGTCTTCTAGTATAGGCAGTGATGGTGSGAAAGGTGGGTGCTACAGGAAAGTGGCAACCTTAACCCCTTTCTCCACGTGGAAGGATACACTCCCATTTGGGTTAGGGTTGATCCAGCGGAGGGGATAGGGGAGCCACTGTTCTGGAGGCCTGCTGCTGGTCCTCCCCCACACCGGCCACAGCTGCAACAGCAGTACTACTCCTAGTACTACTACTGCTACTAGTAGTGCTAGCTGCCAATGGGCCAAACAAGCAGGTGGGCCCTTAGCCCATGGTGTTGCGATGAACTGCTGCATGCCACCTCATGCTGGTAGTAGTGATCATGGAGACAGTGACACAAACGTTCTTGACCCCGTGGGAGTTGAAATAGCTGGCTAATTTGAGCGTGTCAGTCTATTATAGGGGGTCGTGTTGCAAAGGTGGAGGAACTGGCAGGCAGTACTTGGTACTGGGCAACACAGGGGATTGCCACTGCAACAAGAGTGTGCAATGACGTCTCTTTTGTTGCCATTTTTCTGTGTAGCGAACGTGAGTTCTTGGATGGAGGTCAATGCTGCAATTTMTTTGGCACTAGCGTTGGTGTTAGTAGTGAGCTGCCATGAGCCAATGAAGAAGGCAACATTGCTGAGAGCAACAAATGCTTGATCATCAGTCATGGTCCCTGTGTATTTGCCCGGATGACTGCAGGCAGAAGTAGTAGAAGGCAAGGCACATCATGTTGGCCACTGCCTGGCGCTCAGGATTGGGCTGCTGCTGGTGATACGAAAACTGGAGGGCGTGTGTGATGATGGTGATAGCAGGGACAGGCTTCTCTCACACTGGTGGGCTGTCATGGCTTCTATGCCATCGCAGCACAATTTTTGCAGCTAATTGATAGTTGATGGAGCTAAGAAATCTATTAAGGCATGGGTCAGGGCCCCCCATGCTGGTGAAACATGTCCCACTGACCAGACGGCATCAGATACTGTATGAGCCCTTGCGCATTTACCACGTGGGGAGATTCGTCTGCCATGGTAAGGGGAATCCCCATTAACTGTCATTCCCCTGGTTGTGCGGGGAACGACACTGGCCTCAGCCATAGGCAGTAGTAAAAGCCATCAGATAAGTCCACCTTGGATAGTAGGAATACATACAGTATGGAAGCATACATACGATATGAGTGTATTGATATGTATGTATGGAAATAAGGATACAGAATAGGAATGTTTGGACATACCATTCCTACCTACATATCATAATTCTATTCATACATATATATCATACAATCCATTGTGCTGAGAGGTCTAAGAATACGAGGTACGATTTGAGATGATGTTGCAAAGAATAAAGATGTCACGAGTCCGGAATAATAAGATTCAGTACCAGATCTACATAAGGATCTAATCGGAACTCTGGAATTCTTGTGAACCCCCATGATAATCTTTAATCTTATGATTTTAGTTTCATACACACTTAAACACTTAAGAAGAGTACTACACATAATCTTGTGCAGAGTAATTACTAAAGCGTATTCACATGTAATTAATCATCGATTAACAAAAATAACCGGATGACTGAATCGACTATGGTGAAACCAAATAAAAACACCAACTCCTCTACCAAACAACATCGACACTCACATCAATCCTACCCAATCACTTTGATACAGACCAGCTCAAGTCAGTCTCCATTAGAGTGAATCATCGAAATCCAGTAGTAAGGAAATTAACAAGAGACAGCTTGGCCTTTTCGGAAAACATGAGTGCAGGAATTATTCAACATCAAAGAGGATTTTGAAGATGCAATATTGGATTTGGAATTGACAGGAGAACTAATAGACAAGTAACTGCAGATGGTTCTAGAACACAAGCCAAAGAAGAAGTGGAACGGCATGTGGTTAAATAGAAGGTTGGAAATACCAAGAACCAATAAGAAACAATGGAAGACAGCTCTCATAACCTTCAGAAGATTCTATGCGCCATCAAAGACGGCGCCTGATGAACTCATTGATTATTTACTCTCAGACGCCATCYGCAAACCTCATGCCRTCTCTTGCAAAGCTCAGGCTGCTGATAGTGTTGAAACCTGCTGCACCAGAGCCAACATTCTTCATGGCGTCCGGTCACCGCTCTCCAATAAAGACATCAAACAGATAATCTTCAGGTCATTTCCCAGGACTTGGCAGAATGATTACACTCGTTGTGGAAGAGAAATCCTCAATGATACCATTGAACAAAGTGTCAAGTTTATGATAGATCAAAAAGGAATGGCTGATGAGGAACAAGCACACAATCAATCAAGGAAAAGAACAGCAAACGATGCAGGAGAACACAGAGGAAGAAGTGGAAAGAAGCAGAAAAGAGGCAACAGCGCCGACAATGAAGAAGATCAAAAGGAAAGACAGAAGAAGATCAATGCAAAGCCTTGCAGGAAGCACAATGGAGAGCACACCTGGGGAGAATGTCCATTCAACAGGAGAGGTAACAACTACCAAGGAGACAGCCAGAGAAGTAATAATAACAATTGAGGAAGCAATCAGGGAGGCTCAAGCTTTGGTTCTTCAACCAATAACAACAACCAAACATACGCACCGGGCAATTAGTACCATCTCAATGAAAAAGGACAGTTGATTCCACTGCAACATCAGCCTCCATTTCAAACTTATCAGCTTGTTCAAGCACAGAACAATGGTTCAAATTCAAGTGGTGGTCCTCCGAGCCATGTCTCYGTACAATCCAGTAATGCAGGTTCAACAGTTTGGTTTCAAGCAGGTCTCAATCAACAGTGGTGACAAGCACTGGAGCCAGTGCAAGTGCAAAATAAAGAGGTGCAGGCGTTCTTTGCACTGCCTCCAGCAACAACCACTCATTCACTGGAAGCAAGCTTAGAATTGTTTGGCCCTAATAGTGAAGAAGATCTCAAGAATTCAACATTGGAGACTTTAAGAGCTTTGAACCAGATTTACTCCAGCTGCTATACTGGTCTGTAAAACAATCCAAGATGTTCCAGTAATGAACAAAACACTCAAAGTCCTTTTGGACAGTGGAAGCACCGTGTGTTTAATTCACAAGCGTTGCCTTCCACCAGGAACAGTCCCTCTTGTGGATAAAAATAGCTGAGTTACGACAACAGCCCAAGGAAGCTTTGACACTTCTAAGTATGTCTTCGTACCTCAAATATGGTTACCTGAATTTGGCAATGGCAAATACATCAAAGGGATCAATGGAAGGCTCTTCTCAGCTCCTTGTAACTATGATATGATTCTTGGAAGAGATTTCCTGCCCTCATCTAATCCAGCAGGTTCCCTCTCACTCAAGGCTCCTCCGGAGGATCAGTTGGATTCAACCTGCAAGTCTCAGCTCTCTGGGGGATGTGACTCATCCAATGAACCTTGGTTTGATATCACCAGTCCGTGCAGAACCAGAATGGGCTCCAGTCAAGGCCATGCAGTGTTGTACTTACCTAGTTTGTATCCGTGCACAGTATATGGTCCCCTTGCATGGTGCGCATACACAGGATTGTACTTACTAGCCTGTACTGTATCTGACACCAACTTCCTGGCACAGCAGCTGACTGGCGTGGGGGCTGCCTGCCCCCTTCTCATTTGGCATATGCCTCTTGGCACCATGCCCAGAAGCAATTGCTCTCATCTTCAGGTGAGGACCGGTGATTGTACCAAAGCTTACAGCTATGATTGTAGCAGAAGCCTTTGGCTTGCCATGAATGGCACATGTCTTTTGCCATCATTCCTCATGCATGGTCCTTTCCCTTTAGTATCCTTCATCACCCCCATAGTGGCCTTTGCTATTTTCCAGCTCTTGATACAGACCCCGAGGTCTCCCTCTGCTGCAGAGAGCCAGGGGTCTTGATCCGTGTTCTTGACTTGGACCTGGGGGGCTGTGGTCCCTGCATTGGAGCTACATGCACCATTACCAGCAGGTTGGCTGCAGTTGCCTGTGCCCCCTTGTGCTGAGGGTGACCCTTCTGACTTGCTATGTCACTCACTACAGGCAGCYAGTTGAGATTCCTGGACAGCTTGAACTGTCAAAACTTGGCTGAAAAGCTTGGTACCTCTATGCGTTGGTCCATGTCCCACTGCTCCTCCAGCCAACCATGTATGTGCAGCTAGAAGTAGTAGACCATCAGGGAGGGTGCCAGGCAATTGCCACACTTGTCCATACCTTAGGGCTAGTTGCATCCGTTTCAAACAGCAGTCTAACCCTTCTCCGTATTGCCTCACCAGCATGATGTGTTCCACACCTAACAGTGCAGCTAGCACTGACAGGTATCTTTCATTCTGCAGGAGGGCTCTGATGCAGTCATCTACAGGTAGATACCCATTTACCTTCCCCAGCCTAATGGCATCACTGAGGCTGACAGAGTTCCCCTCTATTGATACAAGCATGCTGTATGCTTGTGCAGCCTTTGCATCCTCCATCTGTTGTTTTTGGGCCATGGGGGGGCCGGATCCTCCTCCAGGGGGTACAAAGGCAATGGAAAGTATCCTCCCCCCCAGTTTGCATTTGTCCATGCTGTAGAACCAGAGGGTTTGGAACATCTTCAGCACAAAGGGCGTCTGTAGTCCTAGCTCCCTGCCTGTTTGGTCTACAAAGCTTTGGAGGAGGGCATGCAGCTTTTTGCCTTTCTTTTTTTCAGTCCAGCTTTGGTAGATAGGAGGAATGTCATTGTCCCTTTCCACTTGGCAGAATGCCATTGTCCCTTTCCACTTGGCAGAGGATACTACATAGCCATCCCAGGTTTAAGGACCCAAACATGTCTTCCATGGTTGGAGGCTTTATTGCCTCTGATTGGCACCTTTCATTGATTTCATTGGCCTTTAGCTGATTGTCCGTAAGTGCCCTCACAGCGGCAGTGAGCCCAGCTGCTTCCAGACCTTCTTTGCTGGGGACTGTGAGCAATCCAGGGAGGTCTTGATGCAGTACTTTCTGCTCCATGTACACAGTGGTGGTAAGTCCACCAGCTTCCCCCCAGAAGAGTGGTCTGGGCCCATGTGTGATATGGCACAAGCCACTGTGTTGATGACTGTTTGAATGTGAGTTCCAGCCACCCTCGTCAGTGCATCTGTGAGGGGCTGGGCAATTTCATCCAGCAGTTGGTGTACCAGCCACAGGTAAATAAGAAGGAGATGGGCTTCCCAGGGTGTGAGTCCCTTTTCCATGACGTGTGGCATTTGTAGTTCAAAGGGGATAAACAAGAAGGACCTGCGGCAGCTGGTCACGTCAGTCTTCTTGGGGGAACCTTCAGGTTGAGGGGGTATGAACAAGGTCAAGTCTGGGTTCCCCTTGAATGTACTCTGGTGGTGGTGAAGTGTGCATACTTGAACCTCTTGTTGGGTGGTGAGGGCGAACATGTTTGTTGT